TTCCAGGGAAAAACAGAAACCTAATATGTACATTTTCTGCTTATACGTAACTCTGTGATGTTACGTATTTCCTGCTGGATTACGAGTCCTCGTGCTCCTCCAATTTCAGAATTTCAATACATTTCCAATCTATGTATGTACATACGTATCCAGTTTCTGTGCATGGGCTAAATTTGAGAAAGTGGTTCTTCGTTTTCTGCTTCGAGTAGAAGCCATGCCGAGCAGAATAGCGAGATATCAAGATTTTGTGTGATTGAATAAAATCCAACTGTACTGAATACTATATCGAATGACACCCAAGATTACCATAAAATGGATTTACTTCTGCTGTGTGATGGTCCTTGTATTCGCACCTTATCATCGTCATTGAGAGCTTCACGAATTTGGTTGGACCAGCATTTCCCTCGTAGATAAAACATGTATATCAAGTCCGGAAGAAGAAGCTATATATATTTATTTCATATTTTGCAGTCACCACCACACCACTGGGTTCATAATAATAAGTAGAAGGGCCTACCACACACCATCCAGTTTGTCACAAAAACTGACATGACACCAGTAGTCTGGGAGCAATTTTGGAATTTCGAATTTCCATCCTGGCTTACATCGTACGTAATATTATTTGGTTTTCTATATCCCTAAAGGTTGGAATTTGCAGGGAATGTGTGCAGAAAGAGAGAGAGAAAAGAGAGATGAGAATGAATGAGAAATGAGGATTTCGAAAAATTCATCTGATGAAATCCCCCATGATTCTTCCCTACCGTCCTGTATACTTCGTCTTATTGCTGTATTTCACTTTTTATGTGATCCCGTCCCACCAAAATCCGCCAGCCTTTTTATCGTCTGGATTGTAATTGAAGCAGGAGTGAAACAGTCGCATAAAGCGGAAATTGATAAAAGTTTTGAATTTGTACTAGAACCAGGAGAACGAGTAGTAACAAAGGTTTTGAGGGCGAATAATAATATTTTATGGAATGTGTGCCCGAGTTGTAACATATTTCTCATAAATAAATTGGTGTCATTATTTTTGGCAAACGCCGGAAAGCAAAATATGTATGTGTGTCGTGTGACTCTTTTTGTGTGCCACGTGCTGAAGAATGAATGAATGTAGACCAGGAATAATTGCAAAAGAATGGAGCGGAAGGATAACAGAATTTTCGCAGCATAAAAGCCGAGGGGAAAGAGGACGAGGAGGAAGAACACTGGAAATTGCCACATTCTTCTTTTATCATCCATCCATACTACCAGTAGCATGTACAACTTGGTGGGTTGGTTGTACTGATAATTTGCATACGTTTAGGGAAAGCTGCTACTTTTTCTCGCTTCAGTTGCCTACTAAAGCATTCGAATAAAATTGTAATAGCTGTCAGTCCCTCAGTTTTAAACCTTTATATTCCTCTCGAATTCCAATTTTGTTCAATAATTTCTTCCGGAAATGGAAATTTAATGGCTCCTTTTCCATCCATAATGTTCTGTAAATCTGAACGAGCGTGTCTGAATAATTCTAAATGAATGCCATTTGGAATGCCAAATATTCTTCTTATGTGCATTGCTCAGTTCTTCGTCTCATCTAAATCCTTCTCCCTCCGTTCCTGTCTCGGCTACATGTGTGTTCTGGTTTGGCAGTTCAATCCACTTTCCACTTTCTCCTCGTATTGTACATTTGCTTCATTTTGCGCTACGTATTGTCTTGTAAGAAGAATACAAATGTTCGAATGTTCTATTCACAATTCAAATTCGGATTCCACCACTAAATTCTCAAATGGTTCATGACGAAATAAAAGTTGAGAGCATACACCACCACCACAACGCCATAAGTTACAGCACCAACTGAACCCGAGGAGGAGAAGGATTTGGTTTAATTAGCTCATTTTTATGGATGACATGTTTTCTAAAAAGGGGCGAAATACCAGTCCAGGACCATCATTATTCCCGTTAAATTGCATATTCCGGAAAAAAAATCCTGAACCCATTTCAAGAATTTGGGTTTTACATTATGTTCCACAAGGAATATGTAATCCTTCCTTTGAGACGATTGCAATTTGGAATGTTGGCGAAAATTAAGGATTACACGAAATAATTTTGTAGCGAATTTTCTATAGACTTTTCCCAATCCATCATTCCATTCCTTCCTCTCGAAGAAGGAGCTTAACTTGCTTAGCAAAACTAGTGACCGAGTATGCACAACGTACATGCAGCCATTCATCCAAGACGAAGTAGGTTTAAAATGATTAAAAGATTTACAATCCCATCCCACCCACCACCACCACCACGGCCACAATAAATGGTTTGGGTCTATTTGCTGCTGTCAATTCGATAGGCAGTCTCGGATAAGAAATTGCAAGAGTCTGACTTCTTCCCTGCGATAAAAGCGAATTTAAGAACAGCTCGAAAATGTGGTAAACTGATCTTTTAACCAGAATAGTGAGCTTCATTCGTTCATTTCATTCGCAACAACTATTGCAAAGCAACTCGACAATCTGATTGCGCCAGTCAGTCAGCCAGCCTCTCTCTCCTCTCATGGTCTCTAATCTAGCAATCTCGCTTGGTTTTTAATAGCCTCCCCAAGGCATAAATCTGATACACGTTAAAAGCTGGTTTTAGCCGGCTGTATGCATTTCTCTCCTTCTTCTTCTTCTGTTACTTATTCAGTCGAACAAAGGAGATCATGATGATGATGGAACTATGAGCAGCAAGCAGCAGCAGCAGAGGCGAATACGTAAGGAGAGTCGAACCCAAGAAGGAGAAAGAAAAAGCCTCTCGACTCCCACTTGCCACGATTTTAACAGCCATCCTGGGCCTTTCTCTGGCCTTTCTCAGGAATCAGAGCAGTACGGGTGAAAACAGCAGCGAGAAAAGTGAAAGAGTGTGCTGCTCGTGGTGGTGATGGTGATGGTGCTACTGGAGTGAAAGGAGCATTTAAAGCATCTCGTCCATGAGACGTTTTGTGTTTGTAATACATCCCAGAATTGTAATTCAGTCTGTTGAGTGTCAACCTTTTAGCTCTCGGTACCATCCATCTCAGTCTTGAAGAAATGAGAGCACTTGATCCTTCGAAACACATATCTTTATTCGCTTAGCGTTCCCAAACCGTTCATTTATCCGCAGAAATGCTGCTTTCACTCGCCGACTCACTGAACGAGCATCACTGAATTCGTCCATTTGGCCGGCATCACTTGGCAAAGATATTGTTGTACGTGGAGAAGTTGACTTTGTTTTTCTACCCCCACATCCACCACGGACGCCAACCGTTGTTGTACTCTTTACTGAATGGAATGAAAAGGAGGGAGAAAAAAGGAGAAGAAGAATGAGAAAATCATCCTACATCACATCACCACCCAGCCATGTCGAATGACCGAAATGCAGAGCTCAATTTAATTTAATAGCGAATGCGGCATGGACTATTGAAGAGGACGACTTGAGACTAAATTTAAGAATTTGCTTCCTTGTCGTCATCCCTACTTCCAGCACTTTCTCCTCTCTCTGGGTACACTTTCTTTGACATATTCCGCCAGCTAGCCAGAAGGCGGACGAGGAGGAGGAGGAAAAGGAAGCTGGCTGGTCTTCTAATATAGTGAGATTATTGATATTGAATCGTCTCTGAGAATTTCGAAGAGGACATTGTCGTTCGTTTCTGGGGTTCATGAAGCGACAAGTTAGTTATTCATTCACCTCACATCTCGCCAGGCTCGACGGAAAATAGTGAAATTGAATCTGGTTTGATGAGGTAAATTGAGAATGTTTTCTTATTACGAGCCTTTAAAACCTTTAATGTCCTGCTACCGAGGGAATAATGTGCATCATCCGCTAGTTTGTATGCAACATGCAACAATAACCTTAATAACGGATCCCTACTAATGTGCGTCAACCAACCAATTTGTTTCCCAAAGACGGCTCGAAATTGATTCAAACACGAGTTTTAAGCTATTCTTGTCTCATGTTGGGTGGGTGGAGGAAATATTAAAACTTTCCAGAGACAGAAAGAGAAAGGGTAAACGAATTAAAAGTTGGAGAGTCGTTGTTCCCCATTCTGAACAAAGTTAAGCATTATTATCGAATACATAAAGAAATTCAACTCGTGACCCAGCAATAAAATATTTCTGGTCTGAATGACACCCAGAAAGAGAGGACCAATTCCTCTAGAAAAAGCATGACGCCGTGTCAAAGGTGGTGCTGGTGGAAGGAGAATTGTGCGAGAGGTGTTGTTTGATTTATTAAGAGAGATTTAGTCGAGTTGGAAGATTTATTTGAGTGTTCCGTCGTCCTTCGTTCATGCTCAACGGAAGGGAGACGGAGTGGGAACGCGCACTGTGTAAATTCAGGAGATTATTTCACAAAAGTCAAGTTTTGAATTCTAAAAGTTCTTTAAGGAAGGATTATTTTGTGGGGAGGGAGTTCATAAATGGTGTCCCAGAGAATGTAGACTGCTTCTACGTGCAAGAATGAAAAGTACTTTTGCAAACCTTTTCTAAGTGGCACTTATTTGGATGGGATGGTAATGAGAATAATAATGATGGAGTTATGCAGTGCGCCAGAGAAAACCACGAGGCTGACATAATAGATAAGATTGTTACTCTATTTAATTGGTCGTTAAAGAACAGTGTGCTTATGTACGGGTCGTATAAGCAGCTTACGGTTCTGGGAATCTTATTTTTGCCTATTTGACATCATCATTTGGTTGTGTCGAGAGATCAAAAAGTTGTTTGACAATCACATTGTAATCGCCTCTTTGATGTTCAGACGATAATAGGGGCTCATTATAAATATAAATAATAACTGGTGATGCGTATCTTTCGTACAAATTGGGAGCCAAATTGAAAAAACCGAGGTTAAGCCGAAATTCTGCATATTTAAAGAAACATACAAATGTTTTCGAATAAAAAAAATCTCAAACATCTTGTGTCACTCCGTCTGCACGATGATTTTTTTCGACTTGAAATTCGTCCATGCAACAAATACGATAAGAGAAAGATAAAATTATATGAAAGTGCACTACTCACCGGAATTCTCGAGTATGATGTCAACCAAACCTGCAAAAGAATGACACTTTAGCTACAATCAATATATAAATCGTACAATGTGTGTGCTTTATTGATTCTAAGATCTAAATATGTCAAGACAATCGTCGTGACTTTGACATATTTGCATTCAATAAAAATATTTACATATCTTTCAATAATACTTAACTTGAAACTGAATCAACCAGATGTTTGAATTCAATCATTCAAAATAAACATAAGGTGAAAGTCTCAATTTTATAAACCTTCTTATCTTCATAAGCATCACCATTGTCATTACATTATAACAAAACTATACGAACCCAATCATCATCCGGCACCGGGTTGGAAGCATCTGACCCTGCGGCTCCTCCAACAGCAGGATTGTCCGGCGAAGACCCCCCACCACGCTCCAAATCGTCTCTGCCCTTCGGATTTATAAACTCGACATTATAGTTGCTCAAGTTGGGATTTGGCGTTCTTCCTCGATCTCGCTGTCCTGGGGGTGAAGAATCCACTCGACGTTTCACCTTTGAAATTGAATTGAAATCCATTCAGTTAGTAGTAAATCAGCAGAAGGCCAAACGCCATAAGCCTTCTTGTAAATTTATTTTGGCACTTAAATCATAATCTTTGCGATGATCATTACCGATTTAATGTGGCATACGTATTATTACGATGGTCATGATTATGATGGTGTGGAGATAATAAGGAGTTAGCTTCATCTTATTTCCACTCCTTCATACTTATGCTATCATCATCAATCCAATTCGAAGCCCAATCCACCCACCCCTCGTTATACGTACACACATATGAACAGAGTAGATGTAGGACAGATGTGGATGGATGGATGGAGGGGGTGCCCATCGGGAGGAATCAAATCGCGATTCGAATTCCCAATTAAGTTTTTTGCCAAAGTGTAAGCTTCCATTTTATGATTATGGCCTTCCTTCCTCTTCCTAACAGCAGCAGTCGCACCATTAAATCAAAACCTAGATAAACCTCTTGAGACTTGTGGATGGATGTGTAGTCATTTATACGATGGCAGAGAAGAAAAAGGAGAAATCTCATAAATCATTCCATTTGCAATCAATCCAACAACGAAAAGTGCTCACATTACATTTAATTCCCATTGGTAGTAGTGGCCCTACAGAGATTTAGTACGAGTGGAAGAAGAGTGCTGATTACTCAACTCCTAATTAAGTCCCTGGGCAAATATGGCTGCTGCTCTCGGCACATGTTTAATTTTGTTTGTTGATTATCACTCCCCGAATTATGTAATTATTTCTCAAAGCGAAATCACGCATCCACTCACTCACTCACTAAATGTGTGAGTACACATACGTACATTTTGTCTCTATTTATCTAAACAATTAAAACACCGGACATGTATGTGTTTAGATATGCGATAAAATACACAGTAGGTTGAGTGAATGAATCAGCAATCATGCATGACCATTTTTACTCTCATCCTTGCATATAGGAGGCAGAGACATTTTGTCCAAACAAAAGAATGGGCAAACTTTTATTCAATGCAAAGTTCATGTTTTCACAGTTAGACCTGAATTACAGGATAAACATTGGACCTTGTCGCAAATTAATGCTAACTGACAAAAATCTACCATCAATCTGCAAATGCAAATAATATCGTTTGAGCAGTTCATTAGTGTTGTGGTTTCACTTTACATATTAGCAAATTTATTTTCGCCCCTGGAATATGCATTGCCTTGAATGTGTGTACGCAACTTTTGCGGAAAATGAGTGACGTCAGTTCAAAAGTGTCACCCCCCATATTTATGTAGTTAGGTACTTAAATATATGTATACCTTACATAATAAATAAGTCTATAACGTATTTTCGGTCCAATTTAGGATGTGAAATCATGCGGAAACTTTTGTATACAATTTTGGTTTAAATTTTAAAACGACGTGACAACAATAAAGTGAATTTTGGGCACCAACTGAACCGGAAATCCATCCTTTCTCCTGCTCTGTCACTCACTCGTTTTCAATCTCTTTTTCTCAAGTGAAAAGCCTTTTAGTGAAAATGTTGTTGCTTAAACAGGGCGAATAAATGTGGTGGTGGTGGTGCGGCGGCTCTGAGTGAGCGGGAGAAAGCCGTGAGGATACGTCTTGCATAAACTTGAGAAGATTAGAAACGGGAGGTGCCCAAGGTATTATTCGTTTAAATAACTTTCTCCTCAGATCGAATGGCTCGATGTTCAAGAGCGGCGGATGTCATGTTCATGTCAGCTTGTCAAGTTTGAAACCAACAATAAACATGAATCAAAATATCGAATATCACACACACACAGCTTAACAAACTGCGTAGGAGGAATATTCAATAATGTTGTATCCACTGTTCGTAAATAGAATTAGATAGGGATGCCTGCCTGCCAGATAAGGACGCGGTATTTAACTGCCTATGGATGGAGATACTATTTATTTACTTACTATTTACTACTACACACCACTATCGCACTATGGCACATATTATTTATCAAAATATTCTGTAAATTTGCCTCATGCTACATGTCCACCATATAAATTCTCTGTCCTGTAAGTAAATAAATACATGAGCAAGATTCACTTGAGACAGATTTTTGGAGTGTTTGGGCGAATGATTGAAGTTTACTCTCCAGATTGGAATCTGTTTATCCAAAGGTCTCATGGGTGCTGACGGATAGGATTCCACTTCTCCGACGACAAGATTCGAGGGAGAAGAAATCTGGAGTAAATATTATATGTGCGTGCCATCATGATACGTATGCGGTATGTATTTTATGCTTTGGCGACATGGTATAACTTTCACTCATGCGATCGCCTTCTTTATCACTGATTTCAATGATTATTGATCTCATACTTGTGCCAACAGGATGTTGTGTTTCAAAAATTATTTGTCATAAAAGTATGTACGGTTGAACCGCGATGGTAATAATACTAAAAATCAGACTAGGTATATCTTGACAGCTATTATTTTCTACTTGCATGATTTTTTCTACAGTTTTTGTCCTGCGATTGAGCAGGAATTGAGATAATAAACAATATTTTGTGCCCAACTTGTAGTGATGTGCGTGCGTACATGTGATGTAAATAGTTATATCTGCTGTTATGTAGTATGTACCCTGCCGCGATTCAGCACCGCTGGTCTGACGTGTAATTTGTGACAAGAATTAAAATCAAAGAGGAAATAACTTTTCTGAGCGGAAATGAAAATCAATGTAGCAGGAAAAGTAACGTAATGTCATGCACGTTCACATACCCTGAGTCTCTCAGCAGGAGGACCACCACGTTCCATAAATTGGTCATTCTGATGTGGCTCTGGTGGTTGACCACTGTGACTGGACGACACACTCTTTCCATTTCCAACTTCATTTATTACAAAGTCGTCGTCCCTACTGCTGCTGCTGCCGGGGAAAGGAGGCAGGTTCCCATTGTTCCACAACCCTCCTTGTTGTTCAACCTCCTCCCGGGCATTTCTGCTTTCGCCCGGATGAACAAATTCGGGTCCGTTCATCACCACCCTCTCCACGGCAGAGAGACGCAAAGACAAGGCAGCGAGACGCACGTGAAACCACCACAAACTCCCCACAAGGAGTGAAAGAACACTTAGGGCCAGAAAAAACTTGAGGAGAGAAACAACAAAGAGAAAATATACGGTCCACCTTGACTCGGGTGATGTTGCCATTTTTTTGTCGGCGTAATTATTCTTTTTTTGTGACGTCCCCCCTTCCTCCAAAAAATTGTTGGTGGTGGTGGCTCGGCCTTGGTTTTTCTTAGATGATGCCTTGAGACGCGAGTAGGAGAAATCCGACCCTGACTTTCCCCCAAACGACCCAAAAATCGTTTGAATACCACTACTTTCTCCTCCGCTATAATTGTAATTGTTACAGTCTGGATCGTCGTTCAGATTTGCCGGAGTACTGCCATGGACATAATTTTCATCCAGTTTCAAGTCAAGCGAGTCTATCTTCCTGGAGCACCCGCTGGAAATGAGAGGTGAATAAGCCTTTGTTTTCGTCGGCGCAGATTTTCTCCCCGATAAACTTTGCTGGCCTTCTTGTCCTCCATTTGTATTAATGTTACAAGTACGAGACGCGGAGGAAGATGTAGGGATGATACCGGTCTTCTGCATCGTTGAATTTTCCTCCTGAACAATCGACGACTGTTGATTTGCAAAATCTTCTGACGCTTTGTCTAGAACAAGACCTTCCGAATTTGATTCGTCTCCTTCTGGATGAATGGCTGCAGGGTTCTGGCCACAAATTGGCATCGTACCCTCCTGATCACCACCGAGGGTGTCTGCTATCACCACACCCATAATAATTCAGTTCCCAACTTGTTTCGTTGGGCTCGTTGGAGATTGTTGTTGCGCTGGTTGGCTAATTCTAATGATGATTTTAAGCGATTATTTATTCCGTTGAAGATTGTTGTTATTGTGTTTCTCGTGTTAACTTAAGTGCTTGCTGCTTGTTATTAAACGTTACTACAATAATGTTTCAGGGTAATAATCGTTTATTATCTGCAGAGGCGAGTCATGAATGATGTCGAGAGAAGACGTTGTTACATGAAAGAGGATGAAAATGATGATGATGGTGATGGTAGGTAACTAACTGGTATTGGACGTATTACATTGTTTTATGTGCACGTACTTATTATGTAATTTGCCTGCTGCTCTGCTGTCTCATTGATGCCTGATCAAATTAAGATGAGTCGTCGTCGTCGTCCAGCAGGGTTTCAGTTTTGATAATGGTTTAGTATGCATCCATTAATTCCTTCCTTCCCAATTATGTAAAACCACTCAATCAATTCAGACGAACAGGATATTGCAGATATTTTATGCAACAATCAAAAATGCATTTCCACCCAAAGTTTCGATTGTTGTGTTAAAAAAGTAAAAATACTTGGCTAAAAGTGTTATGATAGATGATTCTTTTGCTTTCTGCACTTTTCTGATGTTGACTTGACGCGTGGCGTGGGCATCAGGCCGAACTGGGAGAGGTAAGCAATTTATGTTTTGATTTATGAAGATTAATGTTCCAACAAAATTAAGTGTTTTCCTCGTTTGCTTTGCTTGCTGTTTTGTACATCAACACACGAAAGAAAAAAAGTTTTAGATTAAAGTCTTCCCGTTTGCACATCAGATTGCATTCAGAATCTCAACTCGCCTCCATTAAGGTAAGACGAACTGCAGGAAAGTGTAGTGTGGACTTTGGTGTAGAGTAGAATAGTTTGCATTGCTTATTATTACACGGAGCTTACTGACTGCCTCCTCCTGCCACCACTATTTGTAACAGTTGGCGACAAAGAATTGATTTTTATCCATCCACCAGCCTCTCATGGAGAGAAGAGTAAAATTGATAAGAACGAATTACTGGGAATCATGGGTAGTCAAAAACTCGTGAAAACTTTGTCCTTTTCCACTTCACAACGCAAAATGTTCGCAATAAATCACTCGTTGAGGGAAGGAATCATGCAGAGCACAACTAGGCCAAGAAAGGAGAGAGAGAGCGGACTTTTTGGTAATTTTAAGTGCAAAGTAGTGCAAAAGTAGTTTCAAACATTTTGCGTCGTCCACTGGATCAATGTTGGTCGGATGGAAATCTTTCTCCTCAGTCTCTCCACGATGGAGAAGAAGAAGCGATGGATTTATGTATTATCCGTTCTTTTCCGTTCAGAATGGGGACGGGTAAACCGGAAGTTTCAAAGAGTCAGAGTTGGACCGTTTTAATGATGTCAAACTATGTACATATTCCTCAAAATTTTATATGTTTAGTTGGATAACACTTACTCGGAGCAAAGTTTATGCTTTTTCTTTTCCCAAGTTTAAAATAAGTGACATTGCATTGCATTGGTTACACAATTCGTTTCCGGTTGGTATACTTATTTATATTTGTTGGTGGGGGGGGGGTTGGCCTATATGCAAAATGTGAATCTTATTCCACCACCCACCATAATGATGATGCAACCAGTCCAATGTTATTACTGTGCCATCTCATTTTCCCGTCTCATCTCAATTTTTCTCTCTCTCCCCGTCAAGATTTGCCTTGTTTAGTGAAAAAGTTGGGGCTTATTTTATAAAGTAACACTTTCCAAGATTGGAGTAGATTCAGTTGACATTTCAATTTGTTAAGAGACTTTTTTTATTATTATGCGGTGTGAAATGAGTACAAGTTAGGATTGGGACCGTTTCTTATTATATCTCCAATGCAAACTTTTCACTTTTCATTTTATCCGCCTGAAACCACTGGCACAAAATCTTAGAAACTTTTTAAACCTCTCATGATGTTTGGAGTGGTGACTTGTTGAAGAGGTAGTAGCTTTCTTGGAGGATTCTACGTCTCCTCCTCCACCGACAGCAATTCTTTTACCACCACTAACAGGACTGGTGAAAGTGGAATTGTGGCAGATTTTTTGTCCTCCCCCTCCTTCCCTGTAACAACTTTCCTTCTCTTCTTCCTGCTGCTGATTCTGCTGCGTGTCAATCGGAACAGGAGTGGTTTGCTTTTGGGATGATGAAGATGGAGAGATGCGATTCCAGAATTTGAATATTCTGCTTTTATTTGGACGACTTGGATTTGTATTCTGCTCCTTCTCTTGAACCTGTTTTAACTTGGAAGAATCGTCATTTGCCTCCGTGTCCTTTGAAGATTTCCACTTTCTGCCCCACTTTGAGTTGGATTTAACTCTCTGCTTTTTATTATGAGATGATGATGATGACGATGACGAAGAAGAAGAGGGCGAATGAGGAAATGTCTCAATCTCACTGCTATTATTATTTCTTGAAGTAGTCCTTCCCCGTCGTCCCTGGCACGCAAGGAGTCGTCTCACTCCTCCTCGAGACGCTGCTGTCGTGGAGTGGTGACTGTAATTATTATTATTGTTATTGATATTACCACTGAAAGAAGCTGGATCTCTTGGAGGAGAAGTGGATTCAACAAGAAGATCAGATTGTTGGGATCTCGTCGTCACAGGAGGCAACAGCTCTCTGGGTCGTCTGCTCTTCTGGTACTGATTGCAACTGCAGTAGTAACAATTGTCTTGACTTGACCAAGTGGTGGAAGAAGAAGGTGGTTGTGCGGAGGTGGAATAACTTGTCGAGTTGGTGGTGTAAAATCTTTGGCCACTGCTGCTGCTATTATTCGCCTTATTAGATGAGAAGGAGGAAGAAGAAGAGGAATAAGAATGAGACAGCTTCTTACTCTTACTTGACGGCTCTCGGAGTTGGTGATGGTGATAATAATAGCTCCGTCTTGGTGGTGGAGAAGGCGAAGGTGGAAAGCATTCCTGGAGAGTGATAGGTCTCAGAAGGAGCAAATAGTGAATCATTGATTGTAGCTATATTGAGGTGGTGTTCAAGCTATTAAGTCCTATTATTTTTACCCGGCTATTTTTTTCCCTCTCCTAATAAAATTGCTCCCACCACTGCCACAACTCTCGTACCAAACCCCAAGCCGAATCAACAAGCCTGGGGGAAATAAGGCTGTTTTTTGTTTCTCTCCTATATTTTCGATACTGTATATTGTGCCTCAGATGAAAACGTGCCGATTCATTTCCACATTTTACTTTTGGTTTTCTCTCTTTTCTTTTATTTTTCTTCTTTGTTGCTAATACTTTCTTCTGGTCGTCGTGTGCGGTGGGCTACAGTCTCATCTCACTTGAGTTCATTTGATTCCACACAACAACTCACCAACTTATTAGATCGCATTAGCCGAGAGTAGGTGAAAGTCGGAGGGAGAAACAATTCAGGGCGGAAAAACCTTTCGCCAAATCAATTAAACTAATGCAGGTATCATGTCCAACACTTCCTGGAGGTGAATGTTAAATCAATAAATATTGTCCGGCATCGATCCGGCTGCTTTGTGAGAGAAAGAAGAGATTTAAATTTTCCTTCTCGCTTTCACCCTGACTTTGTTGATAGTAAAAGTGGAAGTGAAAGTAGCTTTTGTCTTAGAAGAATAAAATATCAGTCACTACGACGCAATGCACTCTCAGTCACGACTACTACTACTCAACATCAATAATTGAATGGGTTTATAATGGTATTGAAAATCCTCCACCTTGGATACAATCTTGAAATCCAGACATGTGTCAAACGGGTGAAGTCGTCCAGGTGAACGGAATCAATGAGAGTAAAAGAGAAGCACAATAAATAAGTCTGTATGTTTACAATGATCTATGTGTCTCTATTTCTATTGTTATTTCATTCCACTCTGCCGGATTACTCAGCCATGGGTGGAAGCAGGCAGGAGGACAACTGGAGCATGAAGAATAGATGAAATTATTGATATGGATGTGACAATGGTATTATAAACAGAAGCCCGAGAGCCAATGTCAACTGCACCACCGAGTATTATACAAGTTGGTTTAGTGCCTAAATATGTATACACACGGACGTAACAAATAATGACGGGTCTTCTTGTCGGTTAGTCAGGTGGTATGTTTAATGTTTACCGAATCACTGTTGTAATGTTATTTGTGCGTGGTCTCTGTTGCCTCTGCTTTCACAGATGAACAGAGCTACGAGTGATGTTGATTTTGATGTGGTCGGTCGCTACACAAAGTTGTAGCGTGAGAAATCCTACAAAGAGGAGAGAAGCAAAGAAGAGATGTTCTCACCGAGAGAAAGTTGTGACAACTGAGGCAAACCAGAGGTTGGAGTCGGGTTTATACATGAAATACACAAAGTGTGGATGGAAGTGGGGAAAGTGGAAAAGAGAAAGCAACCAGAGAGAGGGGAAAATATAGAAGAGATTGAGATTTCTCGAGCTCCGGTTTCTCCGCTGCACTGCACTTTCACTCCTCGTCGTCCAAGAGCTTCATCGTGTAATACAACGTAATGGACTTCCGCCACCACGAGCCTACTGAAAATTCAACGGAGAGACGATCAGACGAGCTGACACAAGGCACGCAGGCATGTAAGAGATTGCACTTTTGCTCTCGGGGATGGATAAAGGACGTCAAGAGAGAGGAGATGCGTTTAATCGAAAATGCATCAGGCAAATCTACCCGGCAGGCAGATACATACATACAAATAACTCATGTATGTATGTATTATTTCCTTTCGAAAAACCATTTATCCGAGATATTTTCTGTCCTGATAAAACCATTCTGAAAGCAAAAATCGCTACAAAACAACAACAACAAGCACAATTCGTTTTAGATTTGGACCTCTTTCTCGGTTTATTTTCTGTAAGGATGCCTCCTCATTTTATCAGCAGCCACTCAATTGAGATCCAGCCAAGAATATTAAGCTACACCAAATAAAGATAATAATAATAGGAACGTTCTTCTTGATACATTTCAACAGCCCGTGGCACAATCGACACTGGAATCTGGTGAACGTTTTAGTTAGGTGTCTTCTTCATAGGAAGGGATATTTTCTTCGTAAACACAGTCTCACGGCGTCTTTAAGTAGTAAATCCTGGGTTGTTGCGGTGTGACTGCGTGAAGGGGGGAAACCGTCCCCTCGCTCTCCTATAATAATCGGTAACCTCAAAACCTAAGCAGCCTGCCTGCGTATGTGTGTGGGAAACAAAACCCTTCAGCAGGATGGATGGTTAAGGATCAATCTCTAAGCCGGAGAGATGCAGCTGTTTGCTTCTCTGACTTATCGTTATTTTTCCTGATACTGACATATTACGGTACATCTGTGGGATTGGGATTTGAATTTTTTCCTCTCCAGATAATACTCCACGAATGAGCAGCAGCAGAAATGCAATGGTGGAAATTTATACGCTATTTCGCAGAACCACAATAAAGATCATACTGTCAGAATGAAACATCAAATCAGCAATGAATGAAAATTGGGGTGTGGTTGGTTGGTTAGTACCGCTGAGAGTGGAGAATAAAAAATCAAGAAATGTGCGAAAATGGTGAAGAAATCTATTCACAGAAATACATCAAATTGTCATCATTTGGAGAAAATGTTACATAAAACAAATGCCATCACATATATCAAACCAAGTATCAATCACAAGCTGTTGCAGTGGCGATAGGCACATATTTATGGGTGCAGTTGGTTGGTTTGTTGGTGAAGCAGAATTGACAAAGAACACGGAATTCTTTTTAGTCTAAAAGGGGAGAAAGTTAGTTGAGAAAAACCACTCGAAATAATGAAATTGTATGCATTTCCCTGTACGAAATGAATGGATGTGTGGGAAAAGGAAATAAAGGAACAATACTACGCACGGGATGAAAAATTAGGAACATTATTATTTTTTTCAAAAGATAATTTGCATATGAGATCATGCACAGCCTTATGTCCTTAAAAACAAAGGCATTTTGATAAAATACCTTATTACCATTTCTCCGCTGGTTATTGTTTGCTGTCCACATTTACCTTAGCAAAACAATGGGTCGTCGTCTTGATGTCGTCCATGCACCAGGTTTCAGGGGGAAAAATAAATTGCATTTTATGCCCCGAGCCAAATTTCCATTTGCATAATGATATAGCTAATAGGTCTTATTTAGTGGGTTTAATATGAAAAGGTAACGGGCTCGCTCGCATCCAGAAAAACAATAACCGTCCCTCAAGAATGTGGAACAACTTAATAAAAATGCGTATGAATACAAAAAGGGTAATTTCATAGTGAGATTAAGATTCTGTCTCAAATGTCTTAAATTTCTAAATAAAACTGGTCGTATAAAATTTCGATATTTCTTTTCCCACCATTCAGTTTCACCTGGATTACAAAAGTTTTGTCATTTTTGTGAGTCTAAAAGGTATGCATACACAATGCCAAGGATAGGATGAGAGAAGAGGCAAAAAAGTGTATTTTACTCTGCTTCGTTAGTTGGTTAGTTTACGGTACGTACATGTAAATATCTTGAGGATGGAGTAGAAGAACCCCGTTATGACAAAGTTATTTAAAAGTCCTCACAAATGACAAAATAATTTGATGCAAGTTGAGATAAATTTCCATTTCCACATAACTAAAAGTGGTATCTTTCGCTTTAAAGTTTGTACAATATTATAGTTTGTTGAGGTAGTTAAATATAAGAGCAAACAAGACCTTATTATATGCACTGGCTCTGAATGTTATGCAGTAGCGTCACTTTCAGTCTCATCCGCAGTCAGTACGAGTAGAGAATTGCGACTGATTGTGTTTCAACTTTTCACTCTGAAGATGAAAGTAAAATTGTTGTTTTGTTTCCTGGAACTAATTTTGCCAGTGGCAATCGGACAAGATAATGAGCCAGGTTTGCCATCAAATATGCCTGCTCCGCCAAAAGATCCCACGCCAGCAGGAGGACAGGGTCGCAGGCCTGGTGGACCGAATGGAGTCGCAAATGCAGCATTGCCAGGTATACATTCAAATTAATTATTCTAATCCAAAATTGACAAGTGTGTGCATCGCATCCACTAACTAAATATTTACTCAGTTTCATGGTCATATTAAATGCAGGATCAGTTTTGCCCAATCCGCCCCCACAAAATGCACCTGTCGAACCACCGCCACCAGCTGCAACACTCCCACCTCCAGTGCCCTTTGGTCTGAACCACATTATTTTGATCCTGGTACCCCAGTTTAAGACCAAGATTCCTCATCTTCCCAAGTGGATGGGAGCAAACACCAAAGTTTCACTTCCAATCACGAGTAATTCAAATTCCCAAAAGTCTTTACAGCAGCCTCTTCTGTATACTAAAGTGTGTTATTGTTTTCCGCAGTATTCTTTGACAAACTGAAAGTAGCTCAACCACCTCCACCGGGACCTTATACCCCCTACTCACCATTTTATGGGCCTTACTACCCTGGCGGACATTTTGTCAAGAGGCGAAGTGTTGAGAAACTGTTGGAGCAGAACAACGGGGCCTATCCTACAGAATCAAACAATGACTCTGACTACAAGGATAATGTCCGCCGCAGTAGTTCTTCACTGCACGAAGCCACCTTCAGAGCAGAAAGAGTCACTCTTATTCCAAAACTGGAAAACTTGTTGGGTTCATTTGGTCTTGGGGGCAAATCATGCCTTCTTCGAACCATTTGCGAATCTCATGAATTTCCCCATGAACTGCATCACGGCTACGGTCTTTTGGGAGAAGTATTGACATTGTTCTTCAGGTAATGCGATTACATATTATTAGAACGGACAAAGTTTTAAACTTCTTTCTCTCATCTCTTCTTCTCTCCGCTGCTGCTGCTTGCCTTAATGATTTGCACAAACAAAGTACGAAAGAAAAGTTGGCAAACTTGAGGCATTTCTCTCTGTCTCGCTCTCTCTGCGGAGTGAATGAATGGGTATGGTTTATAATTAACTCTTGATGATTTTCAACCGACGTAACACAGCATCAGCCGATCCGCCTTTGCCAACAGTCATCTCAGAGAATATCTAGAGGCCGAAGACGTCGGAAAGTCTGGAAATTGTAGGAGATATTTCAAAGAATGTGGACAATCTCTATTTTTCTGGGAAAAGATTCATGGAAATGAAACGGATCTTGAGGAGGAAGAACTATTTTTATTGAATCAACTTTTTTAGACAGATTCATTAATTTGGATTTCGTAAGCAACAAATCGATAAGTAAACATTCCGTCACTAGCTACTACTTTATACACCTTGGTCTCCATAATTAAAGAAAATTTGTTTAATTATGTGTATGTAATTGGATAGACTATATAGTAATTCTTTTAAGTGAATCTAGGCACTCAATTTCTCTGGAGCGAATAACGTTCCTGGAGCAGTTTTTGTATTTCAGAAGCATCCAAATCTTGAATCTCATTTCGTGAAACCTGTAAATTTTAAATTGTATTTACAAAAGGATACAAATAAACAAATACATATATGCATGAATACAAAAAAGCTTAGGATTAGTGTACCTTGAAATACTTAAGGTGCATTTTATCCATCAATCTCATCTTAAAGCTGTGATAGCTTGGTGACAAACCTATGTCGTCCAACACTTCCACATAAATCTCCTTATTCCTATTTAGCATATTTAAATTAAAACTCAATTCTCAATCTTAATTTTAACTCGCACGCCATAAAACTGTACCTTTTGGACGGAAACACGATTTTAATCCCTGGAATAAAGAGATAAGGCACAGCATATCCCACGAAGACTTGAGCTTGCCGAGTTTGATAAGGAACATCAATTTCGCTTTTCAGCAGCAAGGCAGTTAATTTTGCAGAAGACGAACTGTTGATTCGCCCACTGGACGTCGTATTAAACGAATTACCATCTCCTCTGTCATGACCATTCTTCAACTTGTCAGCATTTGTAAAAGTAGAGGAATCTGAAAATATCTGGTTCAGAGCATCCATTACCATATTCAACAACTGGGTGTGAGGCTTAAAGTCATCTTTTATTCCGGGGACTTTCAACGGCTTGACTCTCCTGTGTGAACAACTCCAAGAATTTGATTCGTTCATCGTGCTGAAATTAATTAATGCAATTCAATGTGATTAAATATCAGCAATTTAATTATCTCTAGCTAATTGGACGACTCTAAGCTAATCATACAAACACTAAACTAGCCCATAAATAAGTACAGACTACTTGAATAACCTGACTGAGCAAAACTTTATCAGCTAATAATAAGTTACTTAAATTCTATACTCCATCCAGCAAAATCCGTTTTGTAAGATTAACGTCAGCAAATAATATCATTAGAGAAAAGCTAATGAACGACTTACAACGGCGTCCTCACAGCTTCAAACCATTGATGTTCATCTCTTGGGGAAAGCTGGTTCCAAACAGTAGAGCTCCCCTCTATCCTCAGACACGTTAGGAACAGGCCAAACCGTCCTTTATGTCGATTGGAGCAGTTTACTAAGGAGAGAAAGAAACACAAGAGAGGTAGAAGACGAGAACTGACTGGAGGGAGGGGGACCAAAAGTAAGTATTAGTAGCCCATAGTCATTCTTGGACAGAGACAAATCACTTCTAACACGGTAATACGTCTTTGATGAGAGTAGGAAATGCGTATTCAAGCGAGAGAGATGATAGTGTGACACCTCCTTGTCACATAAATAAAAGATAACACTATAATTAATTAAGATTTCCGCCGTGCAGTGTACTGTCACCTGCTGAAATCTTGGAGAAAATCGTCCCTCTTGGAAAAGGCCTTTCCTCAAAGGAAGGTTTTCATCAAAATGCGCCCAGTTAATTTGCAAATGATAACCACCACCAGACCAGCACCACAATCACCACTAGATACTTCCACACGCCAGACATTGCGGTCGTTGAAAGTTACGTAACTCCATGTATCAAGTATATCGTTGCAAAAAAGCAAGCAATAAATCATGTGCGAAGAAGAAGCTTTCAATTTTATAAGGAGATAAAGATGGGTGAATATTGACAGAGTGGTTGGTGGAAAAGAAAAGAGAAAACAAGAGAAAGCGTGTACACTTCCCAGCACCAGAAGCGGAAGAGAAAGCTTGGACATAAATCATTCGGTATTTTTGAACAGCTAAATACGTCGTTCCATTGTAAAAGTTGATGGGCAAAATAAGTTAAAAGTTTTTGCAGAATTGTACCAAATGAAAAAGAGGTGTCAGATACAACTGTGACAATGAAGACAGTGCCAAATATATAATCCACAAATAAGGAAACGAATATGTATGTACGTATAGAGATGAGAATGCTTTTCATACCTTTTACAGCCGACCGGAAATCTGCACTGTGTAGAATTTTCACGACTAGAGAATCCGGGTATTGATTCATAATGGCTAAAGCGAGAAGAGCATCAACAGCATGCGGAACATCTGAAGATTTTTTGGTAAATTGTCCCATGTTCCATCGTCGACTCAAGTCTTTGAGATAAATCTCGGAACGCATCTGATAGCCAAGAGACGAACTGATCCACCACCACTTTGCGACGTCTTTTAATCGGCTTTTCCCCACTGCTATCGTGGTTTTTGTACATGTTGTTGTTGACTCGGCGTCCTTTTTCACACTACGACTACTACTCGAACCACCAAAACCACTATCACTCTTCTTCACATTATTATGTGGCATTTCTTGTTGCAGAATGTTAACCACCAAATTGTCCATCCTTTTCAGAACTTTATCCATACTGAGATCTGGCCTCGTTGTGGAGGCTTTTGGGTGCATGTTTTGGCAACCAGGGAAAGAAAAAGCTGCTGCAACGTTGATTATAAATCGAATGTCGCTCACTTTCTCTTCAAACAATGGATGGAGGATTAATTCACTGAGAAGGCTCAAAAGTTTGGCGTCGATGAAATTCACTTGACGCAGAGGTTTCAACAAAGAGATGATTACGAAGGGATTGAAATGTTCTAGAGCTGGATCTTCTTGTAGCGTGAGTGTGAGGAAATTACATAACGTGTTCGCTATGGATAATAATGATTTCTCCGACTCAATTCGCATTCCTCCTTTGAAAAAGCTCTCACAAACAATAGCCATGTCGAATGGAGTCCAGACTTGGTATGTAGCTGCATTGTTCGTATCACAGAAAGTGGCAATTTGATTCAGAATTTCGTGACTGTCAAAGCTCTTTTTCCCTATTCCGGCTAGGAATATAAGATGAACTAATTTATCACGAAATCCATCCCCCCGGTCGTCGTCGTCTTTTTGACCTTGACTGTTTGATAAAACTTCTCGACATCGGCTTTGCAATAGTTTCCCAAAGCAGGTGAGATGTTGCATCTGAGTGAACTGTGGGTGAAAGTAATTAAGCCATCCGTGAATGAATTCAAATGAAGAGACGAATGATGGGGATAAATGTGTATCAAATATTTCACTGCAATAAGTGTCACACAAGTTTATGGTTTCAGTTTGGTTCGACATGACGCAGGAGCGGTTTTTCATTGTTGCAATATAACTTGGTAGGTTTGATATCACAATTTCTTTAGAGGCTTCATTTTGCAGGCTTGAATTTAATGATTTGTTTACCAAGTAATTATCAATGTTTTCAAATTCGAATTCATTCTGGTTTTTATAATCTACTAAATTGCTAACGGCAGTCTTCCAATATATCTTTTCATAGAGGTAAAAGTATACCATTTCTTGATATGTGCGATAAGAGGGGTCTTCATCCACAGGGGTTTTATACATTACAGGATGTTTTGTGACATATTGTCTAACGTAACTAGAATAATGGGGGGACTTAAAACGAAGAGATAGTAATACGCGTGTCAACCTCATACTTAATTACGTTTACTATTTAAATACTATGAAATGATTTTGTATATTTACTAGTCATCATTGTCAAACATTGAGTCAGTGTAGGGGAACATTTGTGACAATTCAGCAGTTGATCCTGTGGCGAAATTTATTAATCGCTGGGCTTCTCGTAGACCTGAATCATGTGCACCATGAACAGTAGAGTGAAAATGAGCATGAGACGCTTCTCCAGCAAAACACAAGACCTAGAGAATAAAAACTGGATTAAAAAATGGTATATAATTTAATTATTCAAATATATAAATAGTAATGTATGTAGTACAGGTGAATTATTGCAAGTGACTGGTTCCGCAAGGTCAGTTGCCCAAACGTTGTACAGCTCACTATTAACGCCACGAAAACTATAGGATCCTCGGGTGAAGGGGTTGGAAAACCAGGTAGAACGGAGAAAGTTTTGCGGTTCAGGAATGTCATACACTAGCCCAACAAATTGCCGCAAGACTTTCATGAATGTGCGTTTTACTGTGTCCTCGTCAAGTTTTTCTACGAGACGTGCTGTGGGCCCAGTAATCCAAGAATTTAAAGAAGTGGGATGAGAAGCTGATATATAAAATCCTAAAATTCCTCTTGTCCACAATGGAAGCTGAAAAAACAAGAAACGAGCAACAATAAGACGACTCCATCTTCACTAGTTCATGTGATGAGTTAATACTAAATACCCCATCGATTTCGACCAACAATCCATCCTCCGTTACGTTTGAAGAATAATGAATCAGGGGGACTTGAGGATCCCACAGCAAATTGAAGCCGATAACATCATCGGGCCACCATTTATTGGGGAAGTCAAAGTGTAATTTATTCACCGAGCCGATTTCCAAGAACTGTTGATTAACCATCACATATGCATAAGTACTTGTATAAATATTCCGAAAGCCTTTATAACTTTTTATATTAACCTTGATGGCCTTAATTTTCTGGGTAGGCAACGGGGGCACAAATAAAGTTTCAAACTTTTCCTTTAAGACGCCCAAACTCACGGTGCAGATTGTATGATCGCACAAATATTCCGCACCATCCTTGCATACAATTGTAACGTTCTTGTTAGAATTGTAGTTAATTTGCACAACTTCTTTCTCCAAGTTAATCCAATCGGGAATTTCTGGCATGAATTTTGGAGCCAATATCGGTTTACCGTACAAGATTACATTCAAGAAAGACGCATAACATGCAGGAGGTTTCCACGCATTAAGAGGATTTCCTTCAAGCCTGAAAAATTATCAAAACTTTAATTCAAGTTGTAACAATATATTTAAATCGCATAAAAATGTATAATTCATATTACTCCCAGTATTCCTGTTGACCTAAAATACAATGAAATTATGTGTTAAATAATTATTATCTTTATTTACTTCCATGCAATGTAAGTAACTGTTACCTCGACAAGATGAACTATACCAGTTGTCGGAACCATCAATTGTAGTCTACAAAATGCAGTTGTCAAACTTTCTTCATTTTACCTAAAATATCACGGTCACTAAAAATATTATGAGTGCATACCTGAAATCGATGCTGCCAGTCTAGCACTTGTGTCGCAACAAGTTTGTCGTCTTTTGCAAAGTCTTGAGTAATTTCTTGTTCCCAAAATGCTTTGTCCATCCAGTTTCCTAGTGGTTCATCTGGCTGAGAGTTATGACTTTCAGGACCGTCAGAAACCTTTACTAAAATATTCCGTAATATGTCATGTTTTTCTTTGGGTAAAACTTTTCCTTGTTGGTTTACAAAGACGGAGTGACATTCAAACTGCAATAAAACAAATTCATTAAATAAAGTAACATAATTTTACAAATAAGATTTCTTAAAAGCAAAGCTGTAAAAACCTTTAAGAAATTAAGTCCAGAGTAGTCAAGCAAGTCTAAAGCTTTGGCTTTGTGAAACACGGAATTATTCACGTCCCCATGAACCCACTGAGCTCCATTCTCTACGAAATGCTCTCCTAATCCAAACAACAAATTGAAGCCAATTAATATGATAGATAAATGAGGTAAGATTGTGTGCAAGTCCCAAAAATTGGGGTGAAAGCAAAATTGGCTTAGAAATTACCTAATGGTAATGTGTGCACACGACCCCCAATTCGATCGGAAGCTTCCAACAAAGTAACATCAAACCTGCCATCCTTCACCAAAGCCGCAGCAGCAGTCAGCCCTAATTTCCGGTATAATAATGTCTGAATTTGTATCGTTCGAATTTATATAAATTCGAATGTTATATAACATTAATTTACAACAAACCTGCAACTCCACCCCCTATAACCACAACTTTCTTCTTTAGTGCTATGCTCGCCATTTCCTAAATTACGAGAAAATTTAAATGTGCTATATTTACAGTTAATTTATAACTGAATGATATTCGTAAAAGCTGTTCATTCAATATTTATAACAAGGGCCATTAGAATTAGCGTAAGCAGATAGGTAGTTTCATATTAAATTACATTAAGATTGAGTGGATTCTGGCGAACATATCGTTGAAGTTGTTTAACATTCATAAAACATGTCACCAAACCATATCTGACATATCTACGTAACCCTTTCAGTTTTGTCTGAAATGTAATCATTTTCACCTCTGATCTTTTATGAATCCAAGTTACATGAGAATCTCGCGTACGTTTTTTCACCGACCCTGTTCATCAATATTGATGAATTACATTATATTTTTTGACGCTGGGCGAAATAAATGTGAAACTTAAGTAGAAAATTCAGGATAAAAATATCATCATCAGCATCATTCAACGCAATTGGACATTTTGCTATGTACATAAATATGTGGTATGCAAATTAATGACAAACGAATTCCACTTTCACCATGTCTCAAACGCTTCTTTCTTGGCACATCGTTTCTTTTTTTATCCCAACTCATTCAAAAAGTATTTTTTAGCATTCCATTTCCATCCATGCGATCCAACAAACTGACTTTGTTCCTAGCGAACCCGAATGCCAAAGTCCAACATAAAACCAGCCAAATGATGTCACACAAGTCACACACAAGTACACACCTCCTCTTAAAACCCGGTCTCGTGAAACCCCAACATGCCAAAACACAGCGCAGTTTCACGGCTTCATTTACACATCCTGTGTCCCGACTTTAAGAAATCTATGGACTCAAAGTCCAAAGTTTAGTCTATTTGCTCGTGCTTTTGTGTAATATTGCGAATCTTTGTAAACACATTTTGGCAGTTATTCCTGTAACTCCTCCGTGTTTTTGAACCAACAGTACAGACAGTGGAACACAGACTTATGCATTGATTAAGTCAAGGCTTATGACCCAGATATACGCCATCGTGCCAAAACATACTTGTCGTGTACATAATAATAATTCTGTTACGTAAAACACGCAGAATATCCTCGTCTCGTCTCCTCCTCCTTATCCATCCAATCCAATCTGATCTCCAAAGTTAAACTACTACATAGGAATAATGGACCTTGAGCCCCGTTCCTTTCTATAAATGATAAAATAAGATCACATCCGACAATGTCACTCTTTGCCCAGAAAACAATCCTCTTCACTATTCAACGACACGCTTCTACCAGTCCTTCCTCATCTTCCGTTTGCAGCGGTCGCGGTAGAAAAAAGAGGAAACTATTTAACTACTACGGAGTTAATGAGAGAATTATTAACTTACCTGTTATTGGGACGTCTTCTTTTAGTCGGCACCAGAATCTCGTGTCGAGGAGGAATTTCCACTCAAAAGTTGCGCTCAGTGAGGGAGACGTGAGCCGAACAACTTTCTCGTTCTCGGAAAGGAAAGTGCGCTTTCACCAGAATTTGGTGGTGCCAATTAGTGGAGCCTGTTCACTAACTGAGAGTGAAGTTTATTATTTTAAACCATTTATGAGTTTATTTGCCCGACTCTTTGAACGATTGAAGGAAGGAAGGATGGCGTCCATGCTACTCCCAATAATTGGAAGTCCTCCAGATTCTTCGGGGGGGATGATGATGGCGTCATCACCCATGGACGACTTTAGTGCCCTGACGGGTCCGTCCGCTTTCTCGGCGTCGGACACGGATCGGGACAATAATGAGGAAGAGGATAGAAGAATCATGTTGCAAAATAGACGCTTCACTTTAAGGAGAAAGTTGTCAACTTCGTTTGACGATCCACAAACGTCCATGATTTTGGGAGTTGTGGCACAAAAAGTTCGAGAGGATGGGGAGAAGGGAAAGGGGGTGAATATAATTAAGGCAAAGGAGGGTGCGGACACGGTGGGGGGTGCGTGGTTGGAGGAACATTTTAGAAAATTTAGTACCGTGCGAATTAGTGAGTGCTCGGAGGGGGACGCGGATGACGATAAGTGGTCGGTGGGGAGCAGTGGGAGTAGCGGAAGTGGGGGCGGTGGTGGTGGAAAAAGGATTCGTGACGATATTTTCAAACTATTGGAGAAAGTTATTGAATTTAAAGGGAGGAATGTGAGCCATATTACGGTTGAGGTGAGCACATGTAATTAATTTTCATGGCTTATTTGTTGGCATGAAATGCTATGCTAAACTATCATCTAACATCATCTCAACTTGATTAGTTTATAGTCAGTCTGCATCTTCATATTACATTTATAACTAGTTGCCTACATATATATAACACGCTTAAATGTTTTAGTATAGTGCTGCGGTGAGATGAAAGAGGTTGCATGCATTTGACACTTGAACTCGCAAAGCTCTTTACATGCTAACCTTATTTATTAAGATATTGATATACGTCATAGCTTATTATATTATTGCGCAAATAATTTAACAGCTTAAACTTTATTGATTTCAGCAATGCGTCAAAGACTTGTGTACCGTTTACAATGACACGGAAGAGGCTGATAAACTCAAGTTTTTCAACATCTTGGGAGCTAGCTATGGAGTTGACCACTTGTCCATTGTCTCCTTAGCAAATAGCCTCAGCACCTGCCAGGTAGGTAGAAATTTATGACCAATTCTAGAAACTAAATGACGTTGCTAACTTGTTTTCGTCTTTATTGCAGGATGAACAGACGAAATTAAACTTAGAGGAAAAATTAAGAACAGCTCTAATTCCAAAGTATCAGTGGCTTTTCTCACAAGTTGGACGACTTGATAATGGGGTGAAATTCTTAGTTGACCTAAGGACCGATGTACTTGTAAGTCTTTGCATATATTTAACGCATGAAAATTGTATGGCATGTGGTAAATTGTAATCGTATTGCAGGAAGCAATTGAAAAATCAACGGAGAGTACAACGCTCCTTAAGCCATTGAATAACTGCCTGAAAGAGCTCATTGGGGTGTGGTTTGCTGTCGGGTTTCTAAAACTGGAGCGAGTAACATGGAGTTCTCCGTGCGAAATGCTGCAAAAAGTTAGCTAAACCTTCATAACTAATGGAACTATAAATTTTTGACAGGTGTTTCATATTGATCCAATTACTTCCAGATAAGCGAATATGAAGCTGTTCACCCAATGAGAAATTGGACGGATCTAAAGAAACGAGTCGGATCAAATAGGAGATGCTTTGTCTTTACGCATGGAAGTATGCCCTCTGAACCTGTCGTCGTCCTGCATACCGCTTTGACGAATAATATCCCGAGCAGCATCCACAAGATTGTAACCAAGAAAAGGCTAGCCTCGCTGGATACTGAGAATGACATGATGGTTGCAGAGGAAGTTGAGGATCATGACTTTATTAATACAGCAATTTTCTATTCAATCACCTCAACTCAAAAAGGCCTAACAGTAATTTGAATTTTATACTATATGCATATGGCTAATTTCTGCACCTGAACTAATCTTTGAATACTTATTTTCTTTTAGGGAATAGAATTGGGAAACTACTTGATCAAAAAAGTTGTTCGGTGAGTTCATAATTAATCAATCATACGACTTGCTTTAATTATATGTAATAGTAAAGCTGTAATTGAGACATTCTTCTGTATTCACAGAGAATTGCAAATTGAATTTCCTAAAATGCACCAGTTTTCAAGCCTTTCTCCAATTCCTGGATTTACAAAATGGTTGATCGGATCATTAAAAACGGCTCAAAGAAGTAATCACCCACTCCATATATTTATTGCCGTAGGCGATCTCGTGGTATTGATGAAGGAACTTCTTAATTACAACAAACTTTCTCTCACAAATATAGATCCGGATAATCAACAACTCCTTTCTTCCGGTGAAATACAACAGTTGTCTCCAGTATTCAAGTCCAAATATTCCAACAAAGACTTCTTTGATGCCTTTCTGGATTCTATGAAATTAAACGCGTGGTATTCCGACAACGAATTATCAACACTACTAGAAGCTCCACTGATGAGACTTTGTGCTCAATATTTGTACTTGGTCAAGCGTCGAGGATATGCTTTAGATCCTGTCGGTGAGTAAAATCAACCTCATCAACTTGTTAAATCCAACTATTCTATAACACATTCAGTGTAAATTGAATGTTTGATGGTAAAACTCAAAGACTATTAAATAATTTGCAGCCCATTTTCACTTGAAAAACGGAGCCGTACTTTGGAGAATAAATTTCAACGGCGACGTTTCGCCTAGAGGCTTAACAAACTCGTGCGGAATGATGGTGAATTACAGGTACGCAATCGCAGCTTTTGAACCTGATTCCTCTGTTTCATGATTATATAATTTCTCATAATTCTTATTGACAATTAATTATAGATACTTTTTGGATGACTGTGAGAACAATAGTCAAAATTACCTTGAAGAGCAGATTATTCAAATATCTGACCAAGTGAGAGCTCTCGTTAAACAAAACGAACTATTATTTAATAGCAATCTGTGAATTATGGTTCTATAATCGTATACTACTTCATTCTCTCCATGCTTTAAATACATACATGTATTTCATATTTTGTTCCGATAGTCAGGCGTTTGTGAAAATCTTGTACCTTTTTGATAATGACTTGAGATTTATATTGACATTATTAATATGTTATTATTGGTAAAAGCACTGAAAATACTTTCCTAGCCAATTCTAGTCAACATTTTAATCTATAGTTTATTTAAGACACAAAAATAGGTTACAGTACATTAATAACTTTAACCGCATCGAAATGCGCAAAAATGTCATTCGTTTTCAGAGGACAAATAAAGTACCTCTCCATACACTCGGTCAAATTTGCACTCTTTGCTTCCCAACCAATCTTAACAGCCTCTGTAAAGAAAGACATCATCATTACATTGTAAATTCAGGCTTTGGTGGCTTCCTCCTTTCGTCGTTGAACAATAAATGAAGTTTAAGTATTTTCAACGACGAAAGAAAGCCATCAAAGCCAGAGTTCTGCCTACTTCACCTTCAAAGACGGACAATATTGGTCTGTCTTCAATCACATCTTTGCTCAACTCTTCCTTCTTTTCATGCTCTCGCCTCCATCCCGACCTAAAAAAAATTGGAATGAAAATATGAAACTTAATATTTCCCCTTTTCCCAACTACTTTGAAAGTCTATCACAGGACGAAGGCTAGCCAACAAAACTTTTGTTTTCTGTTTGTTTAAATTACTTGCTCAATGCAGACAAAGTCAATTTGACTTCGCGTGGAATTTGATATCCTCTGAGAGAGTGGGCTTGAAGTTCGCACAGGGTTCGAAGCAAACAGTCCTGCATGTCCAGACGTCGTACGACCTTAAACAAATATTCATGGGAATTGCTTTCACGATTTGGTAATATTAGGAAAAAAAATTATTTTGTCATACAGTAAACATTGTTTCGGCTAGTCGTTGTTTCTCTTTAACGATTTTTGGATTGTCCAATTCCCTTCTTCTCCTTTTCTGATTTGTCAATTTGAAATAGTCCTTATTCGAAAGATCATTGAAATTTATGGGCAGTATCGTCAAGTAACGGAGTAAAAATAACTGATTCATGAGACACAAATTTTGCAGTGTTACAAATTTGCCAAGGGTCGTATTACACGATTTTAATGTGCCATTTATTACCTTTAATACTATAATGCCCAGCATAATGGATTCGAACGGTGTAAGGGCAAAATACCAGGAGGTGGAAGGTGCCACTGAAATATTGTCAATCATACCTTGGACGCTGGTGGGTGCGGACATGGAACTGGCCAAAATTGCCATCGCCCCCGTGGACAAACCTCCTCCGAAGGAAAACGGGGACGACTGCACGGGACACTGATAACTTAGACCTAGTGCTGGAATGAGCGTCATTCCTAAGGACGCCATTTTTCAGGAGATCTTATTAAGTTAAAATACTGCACGATTCGTAATTGCAGATATTCTGTCGCTCAATTTCAAGAAACTTATTTCACAAACTAAATGCACCACTTTTTCGAGAATGAAGACCTTAAAGTAAACCTTTTTCGCCAACTAAATCACTGGTGGAGACAGTTGAAATGAAATTAGGCTGGTAAAAAGTGGAACAGATAAATTATTTTGAACTGCAAATGTCAAGTCAAAGCAGTGTTCATTAATTATTCATTGCATTGCATCTCGTTCACAAGTACATATCTAGAGTCCAGTTAGACGTATTCATTTGCTCTCTCGTTGGTCGTCTGAGAACTCAAGCAGAAAATATAAAGATACGATGTGCAATTTGTTCTTTATTTATGGATGAGATGCTATTGGACTACTTACTGTATTGTAATTTACACCGCGTCTGCATTATCCGACTCGGACGAGCGAAGTAAAGAGTATGCAATCTGCAGGATGGAATCGGTAGCAGTGTTTAATACACTTGTAGAATGCATGTTCGTCGAAGTGTAATTTTATAATGTTGAATATATATTTGTTTTTCATTTCGTTTTGGTATGACATTTTGGTCAAAACTATTTTCAGAACGTGTCTTGCTCAGAAAGTGTCTTGGGTCGAGAGACAAAAAACAAACAAAACTTTTCTTATCTGTCTGTTCATTTCATTTTGATTGTGAATCTATGATTTGAAAACTTTGGCATTCCAATTCCATTTATAGGTGAGATTTGTTTGAAATGTTTATTGATTTTTGATGACCAGACCAGACGACCAGAAAAACGAGTGAGCAACGGATACATGCATAATTGTCAATAGACATAAATATCTAAAGCTTTACAAACTTTGTCGCAACTTATTTGTCTCGGAGAGGATACGTATTTTAAAAGTTCTTACTTTCAATCAAATGCTACTGTTCTGCTACCGATGGTATTGGTGAAAGGACTACGATTTGGAATTGTATGAAGGACAGGAATTATTTTCATTAACTTGTGTGAAAAATACGTACTCACTACTCAGCAAACAAAATCTCATTTTATTGAAAATCTCTACTAGTGAATCAGTTCGTAGTACATAAGTTCCGGGTCCAAACTGAACTAATGTTACTTTCAAGCACATTTTTTCCAATATCATTATTGTCGTCTGGAAGTGAATGGAACAAATTGAAGAAAATTGCATTTCCTAACTATTTTTTCATTTATTTTCAATATATGTGTAAAGTAATAAGATGTTAGAGGGAATATTCGTCCACGCCTTATAGAAATTATGTATAATGTACTATTCAAGTATTTGCAGAAAATAATGATAATCAAATCCGTGCTGGAATTAAATTCTGAACTTGGCAGAAACAATTAGTAGGTTGAGTTGTAAAGCGTCTTTCTAAATTTTAGAGAAATGAGAATATCTGAAAAATGTACCTTTGGTTAAAGCGTAAAAGTCAGTTATCATTTGAACAATCTCATTTTATGGAGAAAGGCGTTTGTCCTGTAACAGAACCTGTGACGAAAGGGGAAAACATTTTCTGTTCAAATTTTAGTTTTATTTTATGCTGAGTTGTGGTAAATATGTAACACCAAATTGATATTTTTATTACGGTACCTTAGATTTGTAAAATACATTCCTATTCCTCTACTGTGATAGAAAATGGAAATATCGGAAATGGGAAAGAATTGTGTCGCAGATAAATTTGAACAGTAATGCAGCTGCGTATATGAATTTATGTATTAAATTGAAGTACTAAGATTTAGGCTTTCAAATAATATTTTACATGCATGGAAATATCGATAGTCTATATTCGTGTTGTAAGTTGTGGTCGAATTTTTGGTTAGAGGTGGCAAAACTCCTTTATTCCAGTGATTCCTAGCAAATGTACCGTCAAACGTGGTAAGCCTCCCAAAAATAGATTTCTTCATCAACGTCTCCTCAATCAGAATTTCACTTAAAAAGTCTAACAAATTTCAACCAATGGTTAGTCGCCCAGCTACTTTTGTTTATATGCATGAAGTGAAAGTTCCAGTGGTAAATCTATCAGGTGACCAATCCGGCTGGAGCATTATGTTCCTTCTTTTCTGAGTACATTTCCATGTTCTAAGAAACATGTGGTTCCGAAACATTTATAAAGTTGCATAAAATAGTAAAGTTCTTTCCTGTTGGGAAGTGAAATTGGGTGAAATACTGCAAGGGAAATTATCCACGAGACTGATGTGATGTGCCGTATTTTGCAAGTTGTCTAAAGTAAAAACCTCACATGTCCAATTTGCAGTGAAGACTTATGCAATTCCCTTCTGTCGTACTTGCGATGCTACGCTTCCCAGTGCAGAACGACTCCAAGAAGAAATAAACATGAAAAAAATGTAAAACTAAAGGTTTTGGATATTTCTTCGTTGGTTTTCTTGGATCATCCGGTTTGGGTTAAGAAGCCGAACAAATTTAATCTATATCTTGTCATGCTGGATGTTCCACTCAATTTATCATTTGAGACAAATGAGCAAGAAAAAGTTTTTGAGGGTGCGATTTTTCAGAGGAAATTAGAGAGGTGCAGGCAGGGTGTTGGTGCGTGTGCATATGGTGGATATGAGAAATTTAGTATGTACGAGCATCACAAAAATACAGGATCTTAACGATACAGACAGGCGAGAATTAAGGTCTGAATTCCTTCATTTTCATTTCGTTTGAATGACACGGGAGGAGAGAGGAGACGTGTTGGTTGGTATGTAAAAACATGACGATTAATAATTCCTCATTTCATCCATAAACCTAGTTAAAGATTTCATAATGTGGGCGATTGGAATTTATTTACAGTTCAAGCGCTGTGATCCACTTTCTCCTTATTAATTATGTTTAAGTGGCACCTACAAAGGATTAGAAATGGATTTGAATGAAAGGGCTTGAGATTTCTGTTAATGAGATTTTGGAGATGCTCTTCTTTCCTTCTTATGTGAGATTCAGGCAAGAATTTGCTCTAAATCTGAACGTGACATTTTGTGGTGATAAGACTTTTAATTATTAATAGCTACTTATATTGAATAGAATTACCTTGTATAGCCAACCATGAATTTTTCGTTTAATTTGCTTTTCTTCACATTACTATTTATTACCCGTATTGAAAAAATGATCTTCGTGTTTCGTTATTAATTGAACGTGTAAATTGTACAGGAGAAAATTCGGAGTATTATTTACACTAGAAGTTTGTGTGTAAGATGGGGAGAATTAATTCGCTTTAATTAAATACGTCTCACTGGGCAAGGAAACATGTCGGTGCAACATTTTCTTTCCAATTAAATATATGAAACCTGAAAATGAAAGTTTGTCAAGTTCTACCTTAGTCATGATCTGCAAGGTAAATATGTAGGTAAATACGCTGGGTTGTAAGGTTTGCTTTTCCTTCGAATAATGTTCTAGAAAGGTATGAATTGTAATTCCAATTTCTTGTACTAACAGTGAAAAGTTGGGAAAGTAGTGAGGACAAGAGCGACAAGTGCCCACTTAAGCACGACATGGTGAAGAACAAAATAAACATGAAATTCAGCACGTTCACAATTTATTTAGAGGTTAAATAAAATTTCATTAACCTCCTTAAAAAAAATTAATATGAAAAGTTGCATTTTAAATTCACGCTAAAAATTGTCCCATCCTTTTTAAACTTACAATTCTTACAACTTTCTTCACCATGTCGCAATCCTCGTTAACGGCGGAATGATAAATGTCCACCGGGAAATCGGAGGAATTTGACAGAAGCTGCAGGTAGAGAAAGAAAAGGCAAGAGATGAATTACGAACAGAATGCACAATGACTTTGTTCAGATGGACATGGTCTCGTCCGTCCGTCCAATCTCAATCGGTTCATCATCAATCATCATTGTTGTCGCTTGGTTCATCTGTACGAACTTCTCAACTCAAGAACTGTATGTGTAGCAGCAGAATTCTGATCTGGTAATTTCGTTCTGCTCACTAATATCCGGTGGGCAATGTTGCCGATGCTATCTCTCTCAATTCCCCCTATTTCCGATGTCCAGTCCAGTCCTCGGATGAGAAAAAGGATTGACGAAGGATGTCTGTCCGTTTGTCTGTCTGTCTGTTGGATGTTGGGATATATGGAACTCCAAATTGCCTCGTTTTCTTCATTTCATTGCCTCTCCCGTCGTAATAATGAGCTTTCATAAAGCGTGAACGAGATGAAACCATGTGATGCTATACATTATGTAGACATTCCTCTGATGCGGAATTAATAATGCTACAAATTCTCATTTCCGGTCAGAATTTCGGCGTGGAAAGCGTAATGATTCCATCTCCCATTAGGAGGAAACATTTCTTCATTTATTGTACGTTATTTATGAAACATAAAACCCACTCTAACCGAATATCTATGTACCATTATTCAAATCACGGCCACATGGATCGGCATGAAAACGCCACATGTTTCCATTGATGCCAGTTGGTCGAGATATATTTCTGGAATCGTTGAATGACAATGCACAGTAATTGCTTTCACTCTACAATGGATAAAAATCTGTCCAATATTATGGTAATCTAGATATGTTCCCATTTTAAATCGAATTTTACTACGGATTTTGAAAAAAAGTGAGATAAACTCGCAAAGAAAACTTTCTCCAAGAAGGTTTTTTTTTATTTCACATTGTATTACATGAATATAATAATAATAATAATATAGGAATATTTACAGACTAGCGTAATTCAGACCAACACAGATAGATGAGTACATACTGTTATTTCATATCTTCTTTTTTCGTAGAAAATGTTGTTTCCTACCTCTGCTGTCGGGAACAAGTAGTTTTCCCGAAATATAAATACATAGATAATACTCTTACACCCCTAGTAGAAATCTATTTAGGAGTAATATTTATTTATTCATTAGACTTAGTACCATACTGGTTCATCTCGTTGAGTGAAACAATTTCATCGCCCTCGTCGGACCATGTACACGTTATGATAGATGATCATGTATTAGGATTTATATTTTGAGTTTGATATGTGAATGAACAGCTGCAGTACACGATTCAACAGCATGTCAACTATTAATATACTTTCTTCAGTAACAGGATTCCATATCTTCCTCAATATTTATAATAATTTCGGAGGAAACAAACCGTTACGAAGGAGAAGAAATTGGTAGGACGATGTATCAGTAGCACCATGAATCAGCTTGCGTAGTGATAAAACATCTACGCCATGCACTCAAGCAGGTATGTAGTTCACGACGATGGTATCATTAAATTTCTCAAGAAGAAACTCAAACTAAGCTATTACATAAAGTTCCTTTGAGAACGTGATAAATATTACACAATACACGGTCAATAATGGAAGCTACAAAATGTAGGAAAACTCGTAATATTCTAGACACACAATAGAATTTATCTCGTTTATGACACGCGAACAATGCGTATCTTTTCACATTGAGGGTAATAATACGACGATATTGAGGAAAAGCAGAAATGCGACATTGAGATTAAACTTGGATTTGACGATTTTTTTTCTCACACGGATGTAGAATATTGTTTTTTGACGAGGATACGTATATACGAATGGGTACATATAAATGTGGTGGTTGGCGTTGGATTGAATACTTTTATGGATTTATGTACATATTTGGGAGAAAGATACATGTACCGTTAGAGTGGGTGCTTAATGGTCAGTTGCTTTAATAAATACTGATGCTTTTACATATACAGTCAGGTTTATTTAGCTAAATGTATGTATGATCATGATAGTCTTTCTGTGTGTGCAAAGTTCAAGCGCTGTTTGACTCTGGATTTCATTTGCTCTTAAATTTTCAGCAATTCAAAACAGATCTTGAGAACATGGTCGAAGCAGCATTATTACTCGGGAAGGTTGACAGAGTTGGAGATTTAAGAATCTGGAGGATAAAGAATATTCAGTCCATTCAGTGTTCAAGGAAGCCAGACAACAAACAAATCAAAATCAGAAGAAGGGATTTCGAAGAATCATTTCTTCTTGACCAGTATCACAAATGTGGTTTTGGTGAAAGGTTGCCTGGCCTGGCCTTTGAATGGATGGTGGTCGTCGTGGTCGTGGTGGGTGACTTTCTCTCCTTTCGTGAATTGTTATTGCGTCGTCTGCTAGTGTCGTTTCTTGACTGGAGACGATATCCGGGGGCAGAAAGTTTTCTAAGAATAGACTCAACAGCTTTCTTTCCTCGTCTCACAAAATTCAATATATTTATATCCACCAAACCCAACAACTGCTCATGATGACACCACTCTTGAACACATTCTCTTCAATTTTCTCCATTTTTCGATACGTTCAACATTCTCTCACGTTATTGAAACATTTCCTCTCTCTTTTTTTCCACAAAACCAATGTATATATTTCTTCCTGGAAAAGCTTCAATGGGCTTCATTGCACCTAGAGATCTCAACTCATGTCATAGAATTGCATGCATCGAACCAACAATAAATCGGATGCGTATTCCATGTAAAGGATGAACATATCCACATCTCTTAATATCTGCGTGAATCCGCAGCACAAAGTAAAGTTGGCTTAGAGGGACGGAAGCCAGTTTGGTTGAGAGATTGGCTTGGGCTTGGCAGTTTTGTGCGGAATTGACGACGACGACGACGACATGGTTGCAAACCTTATCAATCTACCCATCCCTCTCACATACCACTTCATGGTCTCTGATCCAGTCTGGGTCGTGGTGGTAGTCGTGTTAGTGACTAAGCTGCGACGTGGCGTGGGGAATCGGGGAATGAAACCCACTTTCATTTCCGTTCCCAAGTGGACTTTCAGATCCACTTAATCTTCTCGATTTTGAAATTCATCTCGACTTCCGAAATGACAGATATCACTCCCCGTTCATTTTTTCGGACATCGCTCACACCTACATACAGCGCAGAGTGACGTAACTGCTGTAGCCTGCTCTTCTACTCTATTAGTCGCTCCTGACTCTTGAGAGATGATCAAACACTCGGATGCTGAGAGAGACCATGGATGGATGGTGGATGCATGCACTCTTGTATTTTTTTCAAAAGCCATCCATTTCATTTTTATTTTACGTCAAGTTTGTGTGTTATTACGTCTGCCGTGAGTCTTTCACCCCCCATTTGAACAAGTGCTTTCAGCTGTTTCCTCGATCCTCGCTTAATTCTGTGATGAGGCAGATCTTGATTTGGGCGTTGTGTAACGATCAATCTCATTTCTTACGACGACGACTGACTGATGCCTCGGTATAAAAGTTGTTGTTCGTCAATGATCATAAGACGACGGCGTCCACCGCGGTGTGATGATGAACAAATGCCTGAGCCAACAAAACCAATCCTGATGCGGAATTCTGCGGGGGAAGAGCAGATAATCTCACGGGATGAACCACCACTTGGAGCCATGTCAAGTCTGTCGCCCTGAATTGGTCGAGTATACATATCTGTCACGATTTCTCTCCTCTGGTGAAACTGAAATAAGTAATAAAAAAACGAAAAATATTACTGATTGGAGAAAGCACTGTATCAAAAAGTGTAATAAAACATGTTTTAATTAATGTGCTGTATATAATGGGCATCATTACGTACGAGCCAAAAGTAAAAGCACTAATAAATAAGCGGCACAAGATACTACATCCTAAGCTAAATATGAAACGGTCGTAAATAAATCAACAATATGTAACTCTAGCTCGAGAAATCAGGATTAATTGCACTTTTGGAACCAATTTAACCACAATTTGCAACTATTTCAGCAAGAGTGCTTTTTACTACGTGGACGCGTAAATAAGCACGATTACATACGACGCAGTACAGTGATGTGTGAGTGGGCAGATTGCAGAACGCGACAAGAAACTTAAAAGGATGAAATTCCATAAATAGACTGTAATGGGCATTATTGGGAGTGGGAGAGTCTGCTCTTGGTCATCATCGAAGCAATAATGATTCAATATTTTACGAGCTTCTTCTCCTTTCCCAATTCTAAAGGGTTCGAATACTACACTCACTTCACTTCTGATGTAGCTTTACGTGCCTACCTACAAGTTGAAGTAAGTGGGATGAAAGTATTGCCAATAGGTTGGTCAAGAATGAGAAGAAGCAAAGTCAAGGAGCACCGCACCACACGACGGATGACCATAATTGGTCTGCTCGTCTATCCAAACATCATTTCCTTCAAGAATTCGTCTTGTATAGCTTTGATGCAAGATTGACTTTACGATTTTTCTCTCAAGTTACATAAGCCAATAGGAGTTTTAGATGAAAGATATGACGACTGGATCTGGAGTAATCCGAAGGTTAACATTTATAAGCAGCTTGTTGGACACAAATCCAGATATGTCCATCATTTTCATTTCTGTGAGTTACGGATTTGTGAAATGTGTGCGGTATTATTTCGACTCGACCTACTTGATATTTATTGACCAAGTCTGGTTTTGATTTGATTTCAAATCTTATTGGAAGTTGTAGTAGTGGTGGCGTTGCTAGAAAGTTGTTCACCATGGAACTGATCGACTGCATACTTTCCCTCTGAGTTGTTGAGGTTGACCTTAAATTGTTATGTCCAAATGCCAATCAACTCAATCTGGAATGAGAAGAAGGGTAATAATAAATATCCACATAGCCAAATTTAGAACGTATTTCATTCTGATTAGCAAGTTGGATTTATGTAAAAGCAATTCAAACTAGATGTGCTTGTGTAAGATGTATGTTTGCTTTATGGCCAACAATGCTAATTTGATTATATAACCGACGTATGTAGATAAACGTTAGTTTAATACCACGACAAGAATTTCATCCGGATTTAACTAACCGCAACAACAACAACAACAGCCACACCTTCTCGCGCAACCGAAATCAATCAAGTTTCAAATCTTGGTAAACACAAACATTACTTGTAATTGTTTGTCACACAAAACTTGTTACAGAACAGAAAGTGTTCCACTGCCGAATATAATTTGGAAGGACAAGCAGCAGTGAAAGTTGGAACTGTGGTTACAATCAAACTTTCACTCAAACCTGAACCAATTATACGGAAAGCTCAAGTTTCCCATTTACTTACTTTCACACAACTCTTATTTCCTTTAGAAAACCATGATTCGGATCCTACTACAATGATTGGAGTACAGAAAATACGTGCATAATTCCAACTTTAGACACATTTCAACAACATTGAGACTAGAAGAACCTTAATCTTGATTTTGCGCGTCCGGCATTAAATATGGTTTTATTTTGGAGCTTTATGAACCCTTCCCGTGGGAATACATAAACTAAACTAATTTCACGTCCTCTGAATTGTCTGGGTGTGATGTGATCCCCTCGTAAACTAAAAGACTAAAATTTCACTATGCGTTGCCCTGCATTCGAGAATTGGTCAGAGTGGAGGAGAAGGAATCTCCAATTTAATTCGGAGGATTCTCATCTAGGATCAGGACGGAATTCTTGAATTTGAGAGAACAGCGTAGTCGTGGCAAGAGTAGAATTTGATGTTAGTTATGCTCATCCCATTCCTTATGCTTTACAGCCTCTGAGCTGGATTTGATGTTTGGTTTGGTTGGAGTCTGGACTACTGTAAATGGAAATTCGGCAATCTGCGACTAATTTTGATGCGTTGTCTGCGACTTAAGAAGAGAGAAGATGTAGGTACTTTGTTAGCTCTGTTTGTTGTTGGCCTCATTTCTCATACGAAGTGGAATGAATGACGCGCACAATAATGCAGCTGACATTTGCTTCATTCCGGAAGAGAAAGTAGTACATTTGACGAGAAAATTTATTATTTCAGAGCAGCAGAACGAACTCTGACACATTTCTGTCGTTGAACTTATTCGTAGTTGTCGCTTATCACATTTCATCAACAAGTGGGCACTCTCGAGGGATTTGAGGGCAGGATGCAAAAGTACGTGTATGTGATGACGTAAATCCCCAACAAACCTCTCCATCAGCAGTTTCATATCCAGCATTTCAAATTCAAAAATAGCAGAACACCGTAAAAAGATAGTCCGAAAAAGATGAAACTTAATCTACAGAACGTCGTTAGGAATTCGGTAAAAGCGAACCAGAAACCAGATGAAAGTTGGAATTATGAAAGTTTTTTGCTGCACTGAAATGATATTGTGGGCGTTTAATGATACCATTGTTTACATACTTTTCGAATTAATTGAGACATACTGAAATTTCATAATTGGACTGGTGTACCAATATATTTTCTTGCATTGTTACGTATTTAGTTATGAATGGAGAAAGTTATGTAACACAAATTCTTATATCATACATACGCCAATTAATAACCCACAAATTAGCGATGGATGAGTTATGTTAGCCAAAAAATCCAAGATTTCCCCTCCAGTTCGTTCCTCCATGCTTGGTTAATGATTAATGCAAAATTGAGGCGACGAATGAGCGAGAATTGATTATATGTATAAATATATGCATGTAGCAGGTGAGTAGAACCTAAAAATAAAACCGGTTGCCGCAGTCGGCTGCTTTTGTACCCATGATGAATGACTCCATTAGCGTTCGTCCGAGAATACGACACGGGAAGTGAATGGAATGGATGATGATGATGATGTTTCTTACGTATATTTTACTAAAGAAATCTAGTAATCTGCAAAAAAAGAGTAACAAAATCCATTTTGCTAAAAACAAAGTTGTATATTCGTACTCAAAAAATACTAATTTTTTTTGCTCCTCCAAAAACAAACCGGAAACTCATCATCATGTCGATACTAATGGGAATTTACTACTATTTTGATCCATGTGACGCACAATATTCGGATGTGCATGGTTTGTAAATAATTCTGCAGTGTGATCCGCTAACTGGCAAGGAATATGGATTATCACGCTCAATAATAATGTTTATTCACACACTCCAAACTAATATATTCTCCGAGTATCTCGAAAATCTTGAGCGAGTTTATTGCTTCATGGACCATGAAATATAGATACATAGAAGAATATCAGTTATAAATAGCGCAAAAGGTGCCCATGTGTTGTCTCGAAATACCACAAGACAGATCTAATATTAGGTTCAACAGTTAGACAGATTGTTTTGCATAATAGCGCGTGTATTTGTATCTACGGTGGCAAGGTGCTCATAGTTAAATGACATTTCGTGTAGTTGTGACATTTTCTTCCGCGCTAGAAGACCAGCCGCATCATGTCGACGACGCGGTTGACATGTTTTTCATAAAACCGTGCAAAAAATATGCAAGCTTGGATATGATCTTATATAATACACTGAGAGAGATTTTCCTTGTGTTCAAATTCACACATCTTTTCTAAAAATGGATCACTTACTTTCCATTACATGACAAATTGCTGTTTGAATGATTTAATGCAATCCATGACGGTTAGACTCGGCCACACTTCCCACATCTGTTGGTTGCAAACAAACTTTGTGTGGTTTGTTAAAGGGCGAGATTACGCAATGAGCAAAATCTCATCTCTTTTACAAACGAGGAATAGTTAACAAGGATTCATTATTACTTACGTGTTACGTCCGACGGGAGGTTATGTAACGTAAAATGTATGTATTAAGTTACCCCCAGCTATGCGATCTAATTTTGTTAAAATAAATGAAACACTTGGATACCATGTAGCACGGCGGACTAGTTTATTTCATGAAATATCGCTGTATTAGTCATTACCACTGGAGTTTAACGATGAGATTTAATGCTTTCACTTTCCCACCCGTGATTTCTTTCTCCATTAAATAACTCGCTCGCTCGCAGCTACGTACTCCCCGCTACTAACGATATTAAGGTATTTGCCCTTATTCTCGAGATGCGTAATCCTTACATACTCCGAAAAAGCCGCAGTCTTTTACGTCAAGTTATTACTTTCTTTCTCATCCTCCTCGAGCTACGAGGTTTAGCCGGAAGGAACAGGAAGGATGGAGGGGGAAGGGAAGAGCTGACCAAATTTCGCAAATAAAACGACCCCACTCCACTTCTCCTTGCGCCCACCTAATTAACTGAAATAGGCAATATTCTTGGAATGGTTAAGTGTGTGCAGTTCACCTGGTGACTCCATTATCTTACATTTTCATGGCGCCGTGCTGTATGGAGGAGAAGAGAATGCACCCCTTCCTTTCTCCTCTAATCCATTATCCGTTAACTAGTCTCAGCTCATACTTTCTCCATCTGACTACTATTAATATCAGCCGCCACAGTAATCCTCGTCGCCCTCCATTACATCCATATATCCGCCACCTTCACCTTCATAATATCCCAGATATTTCCTGCTGGTCACACGTAAAGAAAGTTGCACATCCATCCATTCCTGAATGCAATGTCACCAAGTGTTTTCGTCTCTATTTCTAATAACACTTGCCAACTTGACATTTCCCACAACTTGCTCCCCTACCGATCAGGATGAACATGAAAACCATGTTTGGCAGACGTTTTGGTCTCAGATCTCCTTCTCAACTTGGTGAAAGAAAGTTACTTTACTTACTTTCTCTCTCCCACAAAGTTGTTTGCATTGCAACTTCATATCCTCCTAGCGAAATTGGCTAATGAGTTTGGGCAAAAAATTGACGTGTGGGTGGGCGTTTAATACGAGGAATGTGAACCTAACTCCCACGGCAAATAGTAATATTTCTCTTTAATGATGTTTAAGAAGTGTGTATCAAGTCGTCCAAAGCCCTACTGTGAAAGTCGCGATACGTGATCCCATGGCTGGTACGATTTTGCATCAATTTGTAAAAATCTGCTCCTGCTGAAACTAAGTATGGACATTTGTACACACAAAATTTGCAGAGAGGCAAGTCTCCTTTTCTTACACGCGTGAAGGCGATATCACGTCACATAGTTCTATAATAAATGATCCGTAATGACCTGGAAATCAACAAAAAAACATGCCGTGCATGCTTTGATCTGGTAGCAGTAAGATTTTCTTCTGTGTGTGAGGATGCCTGACGAAAACTAAATGTCGATGTCAAGTCAGGTTGAAAAATCATTCATCCGGAAAGTCAGAACAGAGACTTGAGCTGAATGGATCTCTGGATGAATCGCAGGATTTGCACTTGACTCAAACTTATATAGTACAACTATCATCATCATCATCGTCTCATGATGAGACGTCGGGCGAGGAGGAGATAGTCACTGGAAAAGTTGATATTAAGTTGGGTTGGACCCCTAAATTTTTCCACATTAAGGCTGAATACTAATCCAAAGTTGGTATTATAATGGGGGTTTATTATGCAGAAAAATAGCAATCTCTGTGGTGGGAAAGCCCGGTGGGACTTTTTTTTCTCCTCTTTGACTTGAATAGCTCTAGATCTATGATAGGTTTTCCTATTCTTGTCAGATTTTACATGTTCCGCTCCGCCTCGTCCAGAACCGCAATCACATCCAGGCTCGGATGTGAGGAGTCGCAGTTGATGGATATTTTATCAAAATGTGATGTAATAGGCGCACATTTAGACCACTCCTACTGGAAAATTCTTGCATAACTCACCCCTTTCAATCAACAAATCTATTAATAAGATTTTTATAATTTAGCCTTCCTATATAAATGATTCGCCCACCCTCGCACTCCAGGACTTTGAAAAATAAATGCATTCTCAAATTGGTAACCTTTTCT